ACAAATCATTTGGCTAAATAGATAAGTAAAGTAAGCACAGAGTTTAAATCATCACAATTTATGGAATTGAAAGCATTTCTACTAAATTTCATTCTTACACATAAGTATTCCTCATTGCAAGAAGAATGATAAAAAAAAACTACTCAGATCTCATGGGGAAGAAATAATAACACATGGATTTAAAGATAAATATAAGTTTACAAAACAAGACTAAGTAAAATAAACAAAATACACAACTTATCTCAAAATCTTTCCCAAGCAATCCTTCAAGTTTCTTTAAATAACTCTCTCTCCTTACAATTCTAATTCAATCTCACTTAAAACTGTTGTGAAGAAGATATCTCTCCTTCTTCTCTTCTCCCCTAAATCTAAGCAAGCCTCCAAGACTTTATCCTCTCTAAGAAGAATCCCCTTCTCTTTAAAAGAACTCTCCTTCTCTCGCTCTAGACTCTCCTTCGAATCTCCATTAGTCTCTTTAAATAGAGCTCTCAAAATTACCAAGAGTTACAACAAGAACCCCTTCAAATTTTTTCAACATTCATTGAACATTCTAAAGTAACCACCTCTAGCGCCTAGGAGCCAGGTCAACATTGGCCACTCTGCTTCTTTTAACTCTAACTTGCTCTATTTTAATTCCACAACATTCTAAAGTAACCACCTCTAGCGCCTAGGAGCTAGGTCAACATCGGTCACTCTGCTTCTTTTAACTCTAACTTGATCTATTTTAATTCCATTTGCTCCACTTGCACCATTTAGTGTACCTATAACCATAAACATAAACAATACCTTTCATTAAAGTGCAATATCATTAAAAATAAGCATTAAATGTACAAACAAAAGTAACATATTTTAGGCATGCCCATATCCCCAAACTTAATTGTTACCTATCCTCAAGTAACGTATTTCTTTTAAAAATTTAAGTATGTTAGGTAGTGGGTTTCATTAAAGACCCCTATAGTTTTGTCTTATAAATGTGGTAGTTATGACTTTAGAAAAATCTTAGTAATTTAAGCTAGAAATACAACATAAGAATAGTTTGTAATTTAGAATAGCACTCCCCTTAGTTACCTTACTAATTTTCATAATGGGGAGTAATTTCGATGCAATAAAGAAATGTCACGCCTTAGATACAGGATTCAACAATGATGAAGAAAAACTTACATTCCCATCCTCTCTGGCCTCCCAATTTGCATTTTCATCCGTAAGGTATCAATAGAGTTCATTCATATTATCTCTTGTAGGGGTAAAATTTGTATAATGGCAAATAGGAACACTCTCAATCATAAACATTTCATTTATTCTTGAAGGAGTGAATTGCACAAACCTGCCTCGCACATAGACAATTACTTGGTTGATTCCATGTAGATTTACAAAAAACTCTTTCACCGCAGGGACAACTACGGCGGAAGTAGTGTAACAATGCAAAGCACTTCCCAACATCTCTACCAACATCTCTACGCAATAATCTCTTTCACTCGAGTATTCGGTGTGTTGAATCCTCGATGCACAAATCCTCTTTCCTTGATTATCCTCTTCTTCACAAGAAATCAATCATGTAACTTTTGTGCATCAAAACTGACAAACTTTCTTAAGTTGAAAATTCCAAATCTCACAGAATTTTTAGAGCGGTAGCCATAGGATTTGAGAAATGGCGACTTTTTTCCCTCGTTTTCCCCCCTAAAATGGACTTCAGAATCAATTTTTGGGAGTTATAAGGAGAAGAACCTGCCAAAAACCGCCTTTTGAAAAGTTTTAAGTCATTTTTGTCGCGGCGTTTCAGGCGCTAGCTCTTTGGAATGTGGTGCTTCAGGAACCAATCTGGCGCCAGTTCCAAAATTTTCGCCATTTCGATTTTGATCTAATAAATTCTCAATTCTTCCATAAAATTAGGTGAATTAAGATGTTTTTAAATATTTTCTTAATTTTAACTTTCTCAAATACAGAGAATCCATAAAAGTGCAAATATAAATATGCATTAAATATTCCGAACAAAAATATAAAAGCAAAATAAATAACGATAAATATGGGTTGCCCCCCACAAAGCGCTTGGTTTAATATCATCAGCCCGACATTCTCAATCTTTATTTTGGGTGACCCAACATTATAGTCTCTTTAAAAATTAGTTTTTGACCATCAAATTATGGTTTCAATCTATGCCGATTCACTTTAAATATCCTTCCAGTCTTGGGATCTTCAATATTAACAGCTCCATAGGGATAGACTTTTACAATTCTGAATGGACCTTTCCACTTAGACTTCAGTTTTCCAGAAAATATTTTCAATCTTGTATTGTATAATAAGACTTTCTGTCCAGGTTCAAATTCTTTTTTTATTATATTCCAATTATGTCATTCTTTCCTTATAAATCCTAGCATTATCATAAGATTAATTCATAATTTCTTCAAGCTCATTCAATTGCAATAATTTTTTTCTCACCAGCATCTTTCAAATTAAAATTGAATTCCTTAATAGCCCAATAAGCATTATGTTCCAATTCTACCGGTAAGCGAAAAGTCTTCCCAAAAATTAATATATACAGAGACATTCCTATAGGTGTCTTATAAGCTATCATGTATGCCTAGAATACAGTATCTAATCTAGCAGACCAATCCATTTTATTAGAATTCACACTTATTTCCAAAATTCTTTTAATTTCAAGATTAGATACTTCTGTCAAGCCACTAGTCTGGAGATGATAAGCAATTGCAATTTTATGCATTATATTAAATTTTTCCACCAACCTTGCAATTGTTGCAGTCCTAAAATGAGATTCTCCATCGGTAATGATTAGTCTTGGCATTCCATATATTGTAAAAATATTTTTAATTAAAAATTTTGAAACACTTTGTTAAAAATTTTGAAACACTACGAGCATCACATCGAGGTAAAGCAATTGCTTCAATCCATTTTGAAGCATAATCCACTGCAATCAATATATACACATTTCCAAATTAATGTACAAATGATCCCATCCCCATGCATCAAAAATTTCAATTTCCAAATTAAAATTTAGAGGTATTTCATTTCTTTTTGAAATATTACCTACTCTTTGACACCTATCACATGTTTATATATATATATATATATTAAAATCTCTAAATCGAGTAGGCCGATAAAATTCAGATTGCATGATTTTATGAAGAGTTCTATCATTCCAAAAATGACCTCAAAATTCAAAATCATATCATTTTTGGATAATTTCCTGAATTTCTTTATAAGACACACATCGTCTCATTATTAAATCTTTGCATTGTTTGTACAAATATGGGTCATCCCAAAAATAAGATTTTGCATCGTGAATGAATTTCTTTTCCCGTTATTTTCTCAGTCCATATGTTAATATCCTGAATTTCTTTATAAGACACACATTGTCTCATTATTAAATATTTGCATTGTTTGTACAAATAAGGGTCATCCCAAAATAAGATTTTGCATTGTGAATGAACTTCTTTTCCTGTTATATTTTCAGTTCATATGTTAAAATACCACTAACAATATAACTTACAATATCAGCATACCACAGTATTTCCCATTCTTTTACAACATAAAGTTATTCATCAGGAAAATTTTCATTAATTTATTTTTCCAAATCAAGTGTTTTTTCCTGTTCTAGCCTAGATAGATGATCAACAATTTGATTATCAGCCTCTTTCATATCGACAACTACCAAATCAAACTCTTGCATTAGAAGTACCTATCTAATTAATTTAGTTAAGTTGTGATGACATCCGTAGGTTGTAGGGCTCGAGTCAAAAGTTGCATGAGTTGTGAACTATGTAGGTCGTAATTTTGAGTTGTGGTGATGTTTGTAGGCCTCGAGGGACGGATTCAAGAGTCTCACGAATTGTGAATCATATAGGTCATAGTTGGTTACATAGGTTGTAGTGGTGAGTTATGAGGACATTTGTAGGCCACGTGGGCTGGAGTCGGGAGCTCTACGAGCTGTGAACCATTTAGGCTGTAGTTGATTGTATAGGCTATAATTGTGAGTTGTAATGATGTCCTTAGTTCACAAGGGCTGGAGTCAGAAGTTACACGAGCTATGGTCCATGTAGGTTGTAGTTGGGCATTTACACACATATCACCCAATTATTGAGCTAATTTTTTTATTGAATTAAAAATGATTGAGCTAATTTTTTTATTGGGCATTTACATTTTACACACATCACTCAATTATAATGTATTCATATATCTAACATCTAAACTTTAATATTTATATTCATAACTTAATACTTTAACATCACATTAACTATCATTTTATAAAATTTTAAAAGTCAAACGAACCATTTTATGCAGATATTTATAACATTAAAATATTACAAATATAAAAATAATTTTTTTTTGTGTATATATATATATATATATATATACACAAAAAAAAATTATTTTTATATTTGTAATATTTTAATGTTATAAATATCTGCATAAAATGGTTCGTTTGACTTTTAAAATTTTATAAAATGATAGTTAATGTGATGTTAAATATATATATGTATTCATAAGAATTGTGTGCTACATACGTAAATTATTCTATTCTTTTCAGCATTTTCATATAGACCATCCAACTCCTATGCTTTTACATCAATAACACCTTGGCTTTTGCTTTTTTACATTTCTATCATTCAAATTTTTACATCGTGTCAAAGATAACATTATTTTAATTAATAAATGAAATATTTCTTTCCATACATACATTAATAAGTAGAAAAAATATTAAATCATGACTCCTAATGCATTCGGAGTCCAATGGTGAGGCGTCACGTGTCAAATGGACTCCACTATTTTTAACACTGGCCAATGTCTGTGTATTACGGTGGGATCCACTTGATACATGACGTCCCACCATTAGGAGTCTTGATGTAATATTTTCTCTTAATAAGTAGCATATGCATGTAAGAAATTAGAATTAATGTTTGGATATGTAATTACAAAGAAATTGGGTGATGTTTCTGTCAATCTTCCTTTTTGTTTCCCTCAAAATTTCGGTGGAGGTTGCGGACAAATTTTTCTTGTCCCGCACTCTTCGGATTCCTTTCCAGGCGAGAAATTGTTACGTCCCCGCAATTGTAGTAGGTTCGTTCGATTGCCCTTTTTAACGAACTTTCTCCTCGATTAGCTGCAGATTCGATCGCCGGAGAAACGAAGTGTTCCCCATGGCAACGGCAGCGGCGGAAGCTGCCGGAGAGTCGAAGAGAGGGACGATTGTGTTGGGATTTGATGACAGCGAGCATAGTTTCTACGCGCTTGAGTGGATCCTCAGCCACTTCTTCGCCAGCGGAGGCTCTGCTTCCATTCCTGGCCCTGCTTATAATCTTGTCATCATCCACGCCAAGCCGAACCCTACCTCCCTCATTGCCATTGGAGGCCCCGGTATAGCTTGGTTTTATATAATTATTCTTTTTTCATTCGGAGATTCTTGTGTCATTTTTGTTCTGTTTAGTCGAAAATGCATTTATTGATCGGTTATTTGCTGTTTTTTTATCACTTTCCTTTCTATACAAGATCATTGTATGTGTTTATTTAAATGCATTAATTTGTTTTTTAAAGCTATTTCTTTTTAATGATTTTTATTGTTTTTTGGTAAAACAGTTCTTCAGCTTAAGAATTCCTGTAAATAGGGAATTAATAATTCTTGTGATAGTTAAATCCTGAAAATTATTTGACATTACAGACATTAAATCTCATAAATTAGAGAAAAATTCTCCTTTCATAATAATAACATTACTGCAAGTCATCAAAGATAAATGACAAAAATCTGTTCTAACATAAAATGCATTTTAGCATGATGAAGACATTGAGGAAATTTATATCAAGAATAAAAGGAAAAAAAAGAAAAATAGCATCCATATCTCTTTTCCATTTCTTCTTATGAATGTTTATTTCTTTTCCAATTGTTGTGTTCCAATTCAATGTTTTAAAGTTGTTTTAATCTTGTCGGTGTAATATTTGAACGATTGCTTGGTAAAAATATAAAACAATTTTTTTGAATTACATACATTCACACAATTCTTGTGTATTTATATATCTAACACCTGAATTTTCATATTTACATCCATACGATTCAAATCCTTAACATTACTTAAAAAATACCACCATCAGTACTTTTTTACAAGTGAAATAGTTTATGATACCAAGGTGTTATAAGTGTAAATATCAAACTTTGAGTGTTAGATATATAACAACATAAGCATTGTGAGGTAAGTATGTAAATTTCTCTTTCTAATTATTTGTTATTTTGATGAACTTCCGTCTGCTTGACATGCGTTAATTTCTTTCATTAGAGTCAGCAACTCAAATGAGTAGATAATTATTTGTAATTTGTTCAAAAGTGTGATAGAAAGTTGGATATGGTTCTCCATCTTCATCTTATTATTGTTTTTTTACAGTTATGAGTGCAGGAGCTGGAAATGCTCTTCCTATTTTGGAATCAGATTTGAAGATAATTGCTGCTAGAGTGATTGAGAAGGCTAGGGAATTCTGCATTGCTAATTCGGTATGATTTCGAGCTATCTCTTGATATGGTTAAGTTTATTCTGCAATTGGTTAATCATTTTAGGCCGACTGAATCGTGTTATTTGAATATGCTTATGCACATCGTTAATTAAGTGTTTTAGTTCACTATTAATCAACTCAAAACAATTGATTATAAATTAATACTGCTTGAGAAAGATGCTAAAATCTTCCTAAATGTCAATGGAATATGTGCAAATAACTTGAGATAATTGTTTTATTTTAATTGATGAACTTGCTTGCTTGGCTCATGCATAAGGGCTGTAAGTAAGCCAAGCTGAATCGTGAGCTTGCTCGGGCTCGGCTCGATAAGTGGCTCATGAGCTGAGCTTGATTTGCTAACAAGTCAAGATCAAGCTAGCGCGGTAAATAAAATATGCTGAAGATATTCTTAAATTCAAAACTTTATTTTTAAATTACTAAAAATATTTTAAAAAGATATTTTACATTTCATATCAAATAATTTCTTATTATTTATTTTCTAATCACTCGTTCTACTTGTCATTTTTTGTCATTTTTTGTAACACTAGCTTTACTTAATATTCTTCTCTCTTTAATAATACATAAGCCAACTTGTGAGTTGGTTCGAACTCGTAAAATTAAGCTTGAGCTCGAACTACATTATTAATGAAGCTCATGCTTAGCGAGGGTGGCCGAGTTCAACGTGAATCGTTTACACCCCTACCAATGTCAACCATTTGGATGAAGCTCATGCTTAGCGAGGGTGGCCGAGTTCAACGTGCCAATGTCAACCATTTGGATGCATCCTGAAACATGGAAGCTAATTTATGTTATTGAGTGGAAGCAGAGCCGTTTTCCATGGTGTGTGTATTCATGACTTGAGGATGGTGAAGCTCTTAACCATGCAAATATGATTACCCAAGAATTTTATCTAAAATTATATAAAACAACTCTTATAGAATTTTTGGTGGAAAATAATTGCCACTTTTAGGTTGTCCAAGGATGACCGAGTCTGTAAAAGCCTCAAAATGATCCCGACTCTTTATAGGGGTCTTTATAGTCCCAGAGTCTATTAAAATGCCAATTTAATCCCCTAGACTCTTTTAATGAGAGTTATAACAGTCTTTCTTAAGGATTATTTCAACTCATATTAAAAGAGTCTAGGGACTAATTTGACACTTTTATAAACTAGGACTAAAATGATCTCATATAAATAATCAAAGAGCTATTTTGGCACTTTATTTGGAACATAAACCTCAATGACTGTTGTTAATATGGCTTAGAGTTGTACATCACTCTGAGCAAATTTAATAATTCATATGAATAAGATCATAGCAACAAAAATGAGCTATTTGACATAAGTTGCAGATAAGGGCACTTAATTAACACCGCAAAACAAACTTATAATAATATGATGCTTTGTTATGAACCAATTTTTCGTTGTTTTTATGGTTTGAAATGATTAAAAGTCACAAACATTCTCTGTACTCTTTTCTTCTGATTTGAATAATTATACAGTGGCTTGAGTTTGTGTGCTATTTGTGTTGTTTGATCATTGGTTTTCTTTGTTAATATTTTTCTGATAATATCTTTATCATGCAAAGGTAAGTGATGTTAAATTGGAGGTGGTGGAAGGAGATGCAAGGTACGTTCTTTGTGAAGCTGTGGACAAGTTTAATGCTGATGTGCTTGTTGTAGGCAGCCATGGCTATGGAGCAATAAAAAGGTAATTTAAATTTTATATGCAATTCTTTGATTAAAAATAATAGTAATCTTTGATTTGATTATGCCACGATCATATATATATATATTTATAAATTTAAAAGATTGGTCATAGGTTATTATACCAGCCTCCAGACCAACCTCATGCGTTTAAGAATTTCATCCCGTGCATAAGCGAGATCAAACCCGTGACCTCAGGGGTCTTACAAACTCTGCCAACTAAAGAGTAACGGTAGGCGGCACATACTGTACACCCAAAAGTGACGTGTGAACCTCGAGGCAATCTCACGGTCTAGATCATAGACTAAGTTTTAATGAGTACAACTGGTTGAAGACCGCACAACCTATCGGTAGATAATTGACCAACACCCAAAAATGGTCTGTGTGAATCTCGAGACAATCTGATGTTCCAGATCATAGACCATAAGCTACATGTCTTCGTAAGTCCTACCGGCTAAAGTCCACCCAACCGACTGGTAGATAGCCAACCGAAGGACTATCGACTGCCAAAGGTCAGATGACCAAAGAGCCACCCAGACCGACCAGAAACCGGCACCCATGCTGATGACTGATTAATGGTCTAACAGTCCCAACAATCTCACAAGTATCAACATGAAGTTATCTCAACAACTCCCCAAAAGATCTGAAGAGATCACCGAGAAACAAGAATCGGGCTAGCCTACCGAACGTGATAATTTCGAGGCTGCCACATTCAAAGCCGGCTGACTTCCCAAATCGAAAATCGATCAATGTCCAGACAAAATAGTCGATTGATATTGGCTCAGTCGACTGATCCTTGGACTTACGAGTAGAAGGTCCAGACATACCAAAAGGTGTCAAAATCAGTTATAGATAGGAAAATGCATGCCAAAAGACAATAATATGTAACATATAGATAGGAAAATGCATGCCAAAAGACAATAATAACATGTAACGTCTTTAAAGTAGAGGTGAGCATGTAATTTTATACCTTTAGCCCTCTATCTCCTATAAATAGGGGGTCCATAGCATGCACTAGGGGCTCTTGGCCTTTAGTCTTTTGGCTCTTCTCCTTAGACCTAATCTATAGGAAGAACTCTACCTTCTTCTCTTTTGTAACATCTACTTTCCATACATAAAATGGGTCATAGAGCCCAAGAATACCCAGTTCGCCCCTACGTAGCAAGTCTGTGTGTGCTCTCATTTTCTCTCTCTGTGTGTATCTCTCTACCTCTTCCTCTTGGTTACAACCGCTTTTTTCATTGGTTATGATTCAGGATAAGTTTGAATTTAACATTCTAAAAAGTGTGGTGAGCATGAAACATACACCAACAAGAAAGAAAGTGACACTAACGAGGAGAAATACACCCAGAGACACTCCTAATGGGGAGGACACTAAGAAGTTCATGCAACAATAAATATGGAGCCATAACCTGTTTTTGTAGTCTTCCTAGAGGCTTTGGCTAGAAGGTGAAAACCACAAAATGGACAGCCAACTCCCCTGTTATGAGACTTTCTCAAAGATATCCGACCTGAAAACCACAAAATGGACAGCCAACTCCCCTGTTAGGAGACTTTCTCAAAGATATCCGACCTACGAAACCTATGCAATGCTCGGTTGATTCCGGGCGGGTGACACTTAGCTCAATGAACGGAGTATCATCTTAAAACTTATCCATGCTATGATATATAAATCGTTTTAATGATTTCCCAAGTCTAATTGACATTTGGGGAACTCGAATCCGAGGAGCAATACTGACAGTAACCCCCAAGAGGCCTTGTCAGTAGAACAACTCACAAAACTCTCGCATCGCAATCCATGATCTCCAAAATGGAATCAGATAAAGCTTTGGGGGTTGTTTCCTGCATAGTAGCGAAATGCTTCGTGAAGGGTACGACGTAAATCGCTCCAACAACAAGTCTCAACATTTAGTCCCGCTAAGCCTATGCTCTGGCAAGGGGTGTGGGCTAACCAGGCGACAATTTGACCAAGCAATCGAGACCACAAAAAGTGAAGACGAGAGCCAAGCCCTAATATAATAAGAACCGATAGCGGCGTCATAAACATTCAATCGATACAAAGAAATTAAGACGGCTAACAATGATATAAGAGACGTACGATTGGCGTCCTAACAAGAAATTTGACCCTCAACTCCAAGCATCAAAAGCTTGACTCAAAGGTCAATGTGGATAAAATCCTTAAGGTAATTCCCTTCCCAGTAGTGATAAGTTTTATGAAGGGTACGACGTGAATCACCCTAGCAGAGAGTCTCGTCGGTTTCCTTACCAAAGCGATAATCCGATCAAGCAAATAAGATAAACATTGTAAGATTTGTGATGCGTCGTGATATATCAAAAACGACCAACATTCTTTTCGAAGATTCCAGTCATCAACCAATACTGACATTCATCACCAAGCATTTATCACTAGAAAATAAAGCCGTAAAGGTAAAATAATAAATAGAAACAAAGGTACGCAAAAACGAGCAAGAAGCTTCATTCATTTCTAAATGCAAAAATGTACAGGTCTTTTCTATACAAAAGATTTCATTATATAAAAGTGAATTTACAAAAGTTTTTCTAGAAAATTTCTCTACGTTTTAACAGACCTCCTTCAGTTCGTCACCTCCAACATCTGAGTTGTTCCCCGAGGACCCCTCGAAACTGGTGTACAAAGCATTAAATTTATTCAAGTCTGCAAACTTTGGATCGACAAGGCCCGACCTGATGAACCGGTTGATCGTTGTGATGTTGCCGACCCAAAGCTACTCTCTCAGGATATTTTCCTACCGCTGATGGGTGGGGAAGCCTTGAAGAACTCCTCAATCTTCATCATTGTCTTTGCCTTCAACTCCTAATTTTCTTGCTAGGCAATCAACAAAAGATCCATAAAGTAGCAATCTCCTCCACCGCTTCCGGTCTCCATTCAGCTATCACTGCTTGTTTTCTAGCCTTCTTAATGAGCATGGCCGAGGTCTCGACCGCTTTTGTGGCAGCGACCCACTTTATCTTCGCCTGGTCGAGCACCATCAACTAGAGGTGGGTTGCCTCCCACGCCTTGAGATCACTGCTTGTTTTCTAGCCTTCTTAATGAGCATGGTCGAGGTCTCGACCCTTTTTGTGGCAGCGACCCACTTCATCTTCGCCTGGTCGAGCACCATCGACTAGAGGTGGGTTGCCTCCCACGCCTTGAGATGATAGTGATCGGTATTCTTATAGAGCTTTGAACGCTCAAGCACTCGAAGGAACTTCGCGAAGGCTCTAGACCAAATCACTTTGACAAATGTAGATGGGAAGACTTCAACCAAGGGAGAACCACTGTACCAGTCTACCTCTTAGTCAATGGCAGTGTAGTGACTGTCGGATGAATTCCAAATCTTTTCTCCCTTGCTTTTGAACCCAGTAGGAGGTACAAGGTGGAGGAGTCGACTCAAAAACTGGCTCCTTCCCTTCTTTATGTTGCACGTTCTCCCGAGACACCGCCTCTGAGTCAGTCTCTGATTCAGTTCGAGGGGTTGAAGCAGGTCGATTGGCCTCACTTCGTGCAGAAAGTCCAATAAATGTGAGATCATGACAAGGTGTAGTCGACCATGCTCTTGCCCCATCCTCAGAGGACTTCTTCAGTCCTGCTCTCTTTAGAGCGATCAGATGGCCCTCCGGGTTCTCGTTGACCTACGTCCGAAGGAGCTGCACCTAGTAGATAAGTATTAGTATAAGCTAAGGGTCTCCTTTCTATGATGGTTACACCAGTTTGTTGGATCACCACCGTAGCTGTAGAGATGGAAAAAAGAAATTTTTGACATACGATGCTGACCACGTCGTCGCAAGCCTCAACTAGCCTTCCTTTAGTCGCTGTGAGTTATTGGGCAGGATCTATCTTTATCTCGGTCTCAACTTTGGCCTTCTTTTAGGCTACCCGAGCAACGACTGTCACCTTCTGCTTAGCCTCTTATGCATCAGAGGCGGACCACAAATCCATCGTCTTTCGGTCAAAAACTCTAGAGAACATGATATTATTCACAATCACCGAATCTATGTGCTGGGGAACTAAGAGGAGTTGTTCGTCGATCTCAACTCCCTCTACCTATGACTAATTTGTCTCTTTCTTCCTCTTGAAGGCATCTCCAGTCAGCACAGTTTTGATGCCACAACTCACAAAAGACAATGCAACGAAGAGCTTGTACTTCTAGTCCTTCACTTTGTTCTCTAAGCCTGAGAGCTGAAACTGACCAACTGTATTGAACTGCACATACTCGTTAGCCTCCACTCGAAAGAAGAACATTTGGCTAAACAAGTCAATCAACCTCGGGATTCCTCTTCGTTGGTAGAAAACTACGTAAATTGATATTGTTGTAGTGGAGTTTGGTTTGATCTGCACTGGGATAACCCAATATTGATTGAAAATTACCTTATATTCCTAGCACAAGTGCAACCACAATTCATGTCTTAGTTTGTCTTTGTAAACGACTAGATTGTCTTTGTAATTGAGCTGTCCTAAACTTGATGTTTGTTGAAAGCAAAATCCTCCACGAACGCTACGTACGATAGTGATAGAACCGAACGCTCGGTTGCAGCTACTAGACCAAAAGTTTGGATAGTGCACTTTGGAGTTATCATAGAGAGAAAGAAACGAACGAAAGAAATAGCCAAAAGAAATAAAGAAAACCGAGCGAAAGAAAGCTAAAAAAAAATGACATTAAGGGTGTAAATAAACACCTTAGCCCTTATTTATAGGGATCTAGTGGAAGTGAAAACATCTCACTATGTTTTCAAAAGAAAACATCACATCAACACAAAAATCGAGATAAAAAGAAAAGAAAATATTTTTATTTAGAAAATAAAAATAATTATACTCAGACTCTAGTCTAACAGGTGATACTTTACAAACTGGTCCTCAGTCGCCTCGGCTAGGATATGACCTTTCCTACCAATCTTCTATACAATATTTGACCGTCGACATTGAACTAATTCACTCGGCCGGCCTCAGAATGTGCCTTCTGCACGAAGGCATCTTTCTGAAGTTTA